CCTACCTACCCCTACTAGGCTACTACGAAGGCTATAAAGGGGACCCCTGCAAACATAAGTTGCATAACTGCCTCTCAAAGTGAAGGTGATTTTGTTTGTTGCCCCTTGCCCTAGGGCCAGGCTACCTTCGCCCCCCGAACATAATGCGTATGTGTTGTAAACAAATAGAACACATAGGGTGCGTTCTTCTCGAATACAACACGCACGCGTTCTATTCGAATATCCAAGATTTTCGAATATAACTCGTATGCGTTCTATTCGAATTCTGTTCAAATTCGGAAACTCAAATAGAACACATATGCGTTATGTTTGGGGGAAGAAGGTAGTGTTGTTAACAATGTGGGGATATTAAGGAAAGAAAAGAAAAGGAAAAAAAAAGAGTGGCAAAGTAGTTGGAGGTCCGAAAAGACTACATGTGTGCTGATGTTTCCATGTCTACTTCTGGGTGACTGGGCCTAATCAGTCAGATCATGATCTGAGTCGTCCGGGGTGCCACATTGCATCATATTGTCTTGATTTTGATTGCATTGCTACGGTAGTCTTTGAGGCTTCCATTCAGATCAGTGATCTGTTGGAGTCTGCACACTGCCTATCTGATGATAGGCAAGCATTCGCGTGTGTGTGCAAAAGAGAGGTGGGAGGGGAGGGAGTGGTGCAAGGAGCTCCAAGGAAGGGGATGCCGAGACAATGACTTCAGTGTACGGAGTCGGTAGGAACGACAGCATCCTTCCGACGGGTGGCTGATGGGAGAGGTGAGGGAAGGCTATGTATCCCCCAGCGGTCATGACCGCGGTGGGGTCAAACATGGCCGCGGTCAGGATCCCGACCGCAGGCCTCGGGCGCGGGCGGCTGGGCTCGAACGGGCGGCTGGGCGCGGACGCAGGTGGTCGGGCGGCCGAGAATTTGTCATATAATTTAAAAGGAAAAACTAATAGACCCAAAAAATAAAATAAAAATGGGGTTGTACAGTTTTAAAAGCCCTACAACGCTTTTTTTGGGGGGGGATTTCAAGTTTTCAACGTTGTTTTTTATTTTAAAAAAGTAGAAAACGAAAAAAAAACAGTACTGTAATCAAAAGAAAAGCTAGGCTGCCAGCCTTTTTCCCCGGCCCGGCCGTGCAAGGACCAGGGAAGGTCCCAGAAAAAAAAAAAAAAAAACCCCGAAAAGGACAATGCATAGAAATAAACTGAACAACTTTTGCCTCAGGGTCACATCAAAATTCGTCGTCAAATGTACAATAAAACTAGGCCATTTTCCCAGACGGCCCAGCCGTGCAAGGACCAGGGAAGTTCCTAGCAAAATAAAAAAAAATCCAAAAACTCCGAAAAAAACACTATGTTATGTAGAAAAGTAAACTGAACAACTTTTGACTCAGGGGCACATCGAAATCCTTTACCGAATTTAAAATAAAAAAATTAAATTAAAAATATTTTTTATGTTTACTTTTTGATTTTTTTTGGCCCGGCCGGGCAAGTGACTCCGGGGACCTTGTCCCACTTGCACCGTTTAGTTGAGGCAGCTCAACGGTGCAACAGCTAAAAAAAATCGTTGTAATTCAATTTCAAATAAGAAATGCATTTATAAATGACACGAATACAGTTGTTCTGTTTTTTCTTTTTTCACAACTGGAGTGGCATACGGGCACTTCCATGGCAGAAAATGAAGAGTGAGTTGCCAGAATCACTTTTGTACAAAAATGGCAAACGGAAGGAGGCTTGTACAGTTTTTCTATAAAAACGCCTTTTGGGGGAACAAGAGGGTCGTTGAGCTAGCTGTCTCGAAAAAAGGAGACAGCTAGCTCAACGGAAAGTGGAGAGGGAAGGGGGAGTAGTATTAGAGAGAAAGGATTTACTTCTGCTTTTTGTTGTAAGAAAAAGCAAAGATAGTTTCTATTGCCTTTTTTATTAAAAACGGACCGCTAGATGACTTGGACGACGTGCATCTCCGTTGTCGCATACAGTCACACAGAGTCCAAAACCCAACGTTGACCTAGCTCAACGGAGCTACTGGGACAAGGTCTCGGGGCACTCTGGTAGCCTAGCAATAAAATACAAATAAAAAATATATATTTTTAATTTTTAATTTTTAATTTTGTTTGGCCCGGCCGGGCAAGTGGTCCTGGGCCACTCTGGCAGCCTAGAAGAAAGTAATAAAAAAAGGGTTTTTTTTTCATTATTTTGTGATTGCTGGTGGGATAAACATGTTGCACATGTTTGTTTTTTATTTTTCTAATGGACACATGAAAAGATAAACGGGAAAAGAGATTTTAAAAAACGCAGAAAAAGCCAAAACCATTTTCTTTTTTTCCCCTCTCTTTGGTTCTTGACACACACACATACCGATAGACTGACTGGTTGATAGTCAATGATTGATTGATTGATTGATTGATACAAAAAGAAAAAGTGTGCGAACCTGTGTGTGTGTGTTTGTGTGTGTGTCTGTGTGTGTCTGTGTGTCTGTGTGTCTGTGTGTCTGTGTGTGTGTGTGTGCGCCGGGGGGTTGGGGGGGGGGTCCCCAACCTATCAGTCAATCAATTAATCCAAAAGAAAAACAGCGGCTCTGTTCGACCCGTGTGTGTGTGTGTGTGTGCATGTGGCAGGTGGGGGAGGCAACCCCTCCCCCATCAATCAATCAATCAATCAATCAAGGGTTAATTGCAAAAATAGTGCTTTTTCCAAGTTTGGCAGCAAAAATGTTGTCCGTTCGAAGTTTCCTTTGCAAAAATAGAGGTTCCGTTGCAACTTTACTGGGAACCCGTAGTTTGCCAGCAAAAATGTTGCGTTTTGCCAAGTTTCGCAGCAAGGGACCCGTAGGCCTCTGGCCTCAGGTACTCAGGCACTCAGCGTTCGGGCCTCAGGTACTCAGGGGCAGCGTTTTTTTTTTTTTTTTTTCCGCTGGCGTGGCCTACTTATCTCGGCCGTGGCCACGCCCGAGATGCTCGGCCACGGTGGACATTTAAAAGAAAACAAAAGCACCTCAGCTCGCGGCTGTGCCACGGCCGCGATGCCTCGGCCATGCCCACGTGAAAAGAAAAAAAAAACGTACCTGAGGCCCGAACGCTGAGTGCCTGAGTACCTGAGGCCGGAGGCCTACGGGTCCCTTGCTGTGAAACTTGGCAAAACGCGACATTTTTGCTGGCAAACCACGGGTTCCCGATGAAGTTGCAACGAAACCTCTATTTTTGCAAAGGAAACTTCGAACGAACAACAGTTCTGCTGCCAAACTTGCCAAAAGCAATATTTTTGCAATTAACCCATCAATCAATCAATCAATCAATCAGCCAATCGAAAGAAAAAAATACAGTGGGTTCATTCTACCCGTGTGTTTGTGTGGTGCTGTGTGTGTAAACACACTTCGACGTAGCTCCAGTACACAACAAGTGTACTCCGCCTCGCGACACCCCAGGAGAGACCCATGCACTAAACAACTTGAATACAATTTTGACATAAACTATTAAACTCTATAGTGGACTGAATGTTTGACAGTTGAACAGTTAGAGTACAAACAATAAAGGACAGGCTGGAGGGCACGGGGGAGGTGGGTTGTAGCGGACCCACCAGGTGTGGTGCTCCGCTAGTGGTAGAGATAGAGACGGAGGAAGAAGGGGGGAGCAAGATGACGCACAACGCAGCTCCCACGCAGGACTCCAACGCACGTACTCCAAAAATGTGCAAGTGAAGAATGATCCTGAAAACAGACAATGGCTGGGGTATACCCCAGCGGACTGACGGGACTGGACTGGACTGGCTGGTACCGACAGAGGTACCGGCCTGGACTGGCCTAC